GGCGTGGAATATCCTTTTTCCATCTTCATCTTTCAGTTTCTTTGCATCTTTCTGGTTAGATGGTTTTTGTAGGCAACAGATGGTTGGGTCTTGTTTTGATGATCCATTCTATTAATCTCTGTGTATGAGTGTTGAATTAGACATTTGTGTTGAGGGCGTTAAATTGCGATGGTTGCAATTATGCCTCCTGCCATGTGATTGTGTTGTGTGTGTGTTGTCGCTATGTAATTGTCTTGTTTGTGCGGCCTTTCTTATGGAGACTCTTATTTGCAACTATGTTTGTGATTTGCTGTTTTTGCCGGGAACTAGCGCATTTCTAAGGAGACTTCTGCAGAGTGGATTAGTGTAGACATTTTTCTTCTAGTTTTTTCTTGCATTGTAAGTATCTGATTTCGTTTCATATACAAATGAGTCTTTGATGGGTAGATTATTTTTGGTTGACAGTTGTTTATGTTTCACGGACTTGGAGATCTTTGTCATTCTATCCTTGCTCCTGTAGGGTCTCTTCGGAGAAGTCAGCAGTGATTCTGATGGGTTTTTCCCAATGTATGTGATTTCGTTTTCCTACTTCGTATTGTCTCAGGACTCCTTCTTTGTTCTTTGGAGTAGAGAAACTTGATGCACCGTGTGTCTGGTGTGAAGAATCTTTTGGATCATGTCTGTTGGGAGTTCTCTGGTCCATCTGTAATGCGGGGTGGATTCGTGTTCCAAGTGTTTTGGAAGTTTTCCTGTATAATTTCAATCGAGCATGCTTGGCATCCCAGATTTCTCTTTCTACCTCCTCGGGGAGGCCGATGATCGAATATTCAATTTTCTAGGTTTATCCTTCCATCTCTTGCTCATTTTATTGTTTTGCTGAGTTTGTCTCCAGCTGTTAGAATTCGCTGGGCATTTCATTTTGTGTGTCTTCTGCTTTCAGAGTTCCTTTCCTCTGCCGCATTTATTCTTGGTGATGAGGCTTTCAATTTGTTATCTTGGGCGTCCTGTTTGTTTTGATTGTTGAATTTTCGGTGATTAAGCGGTTCTTGGTGTCTTCCAGCTTTGTGTTCCACGTCTCTGAGAAATTTTAGCTATCTATTTTCATCAAATTCTTTGCTGGTAACACTCCATTGTCTTCCTCTCGTATCGTCGATATTTGATAATGGCTTTTGCCCTTGTTTGGTGGGTGCTGGTCTTTCATCTGGAGCACAACTCTTTACTGGTGTTTTTTCCCATTGCGTTGCGTGTCTTCTGGTGAGGCAAATGGGACCGTGTGTTCCGGGGCTGTCAGGTGGTTCTCTGTAGAGATAGGAGCCCTGCAGGCGTGGTGTTGCCGGGCGTCGGTTATTTCAAGGCACCGTTTGTGCGTTCCTCCAGGGCCGGGGCTGTAGAGCTCCACCTTGGGGGCCCAGTGGATTCCAGGGCACACTTGGGCACCCTCTTCTACTGGTGTGACACCCCAGGGGCGTGGAGGGATGGAGGCGCTCTCTGGGTGTTTTTTTGGGGGGCCCCTGCCGGGAATCACAGGCTTAGAAGGTTTTATGGCTTTTCTCCTGCTTCTCCGTTTAGGGATGCCGGGTTTTTCAGAGCCCACTGGTGCGGTTCTCCCACACACGGGACTGTGGGGAGGCGTCCAGGCGTGGCTCTTGCTGCAGTGAATTCCACACTCGAGGTGTGTGGGTGTACAGAGCCCCTGCTCCCGTTGTGCTCACCCCCACACAGGTCCTTAGCGGAGAAAGGAGTGACCAGGCGCCTGTTATAATGATTCACAGGCGGTTCGCACCGTGTCAGTTTGGTGCAGGGGTTTTCAGGGCTCTCCTGTGGGTCCCCACGCTCAGAACTGAGGGTGGGAGGCGAGAATGAGCAGGTTCACTTATGGGAGTGAGTCCTGCGTGTCAGGGACACACAGCGCTTACACTTCACCAAATCTGAGCTCTCTGACAACCTGAACCACTGCGCTGCGGAATGGGATGGCCTGCTGCCGGCGGGGCGCCAGCCGCTCGGATGCGGCAGCGCATCACCCGTGCGTCGGTGGTTTCGTGCATCACCAGGAGGATAGTGGGGCGGGATCCAGACCCTCGCCTGCAGCCTCTGCGCACGAGCCGCATGTTTCCCCTAAGCGCGGAACTTCGAGGCGCCTTCCGCGGCCCCTCGCCACCTAACACAAACACCACTGTGGTAGTTCCATACAAGACCCAAACACGCTTTCCGGCCGCCCCTGCTCCGCATTCCAGAGGCTGGAATCCAGCAGGGGGGGAGAAATGCGGAGGCTGCCGTCAACCCGAGTCACCAAACGTCCGGCTGACTCGCAGTCTGCCTCACCGCTGCTGAAGGCCTCCGCCGCGACGATCCGCCCTGATCTCCCCTGCCTCGAGCTGGCGCGTCTCCGTCTAGGCCGTTTCAAAAGTGATCAGCAGGTCTAGAGTGGGATGTCGGGTTTCTCTGCCTTTGCCTGCTCCGTTCTCGTTGTTCTTTCGAGTGTGTGGATTCTTTTTGGTCCACCTGTCAGGAGCTTCACGGTAACCCTCTCCCTGCGGTTCCCTGCTGTTCCTCTTTGCTGCTTCTGTAGCGTTCTATCCCTCTCTCACTAGACGCTCACTCACAGCCTTCCTCCTACGTCGGCCATCTTCGCTCTCCCCTCCAATATGTTTTTCATGAGTCCTCATCAGTATGCTTGAAGATAGCTTGGGTATCTTGAGAGTCTGAAATTAATTCCAAAGTAGATGCAAAGCTGTAGACCATAGGCATGTTGACCAGAGAACTCCAGCTTTTCAGAGAACTCATACACAAAATGGAAGAAAACACAGAAAATATCTAGTAGATGCAGATGCTTGTGTCCAGTAACACAGGAAGTGATGCGTGTGGGCAGTGTGGATACATCCTGTCTTCAGAATGAGGGTGTTAATGATGACTTCCCAAAAGCAAAACCATGCAAGATAGGTGAAGTGGCCAGATTTCTAAGGGAAGAGAAACCACCCCCTCCACACACACACACAAAGTAAAGATTCAAGTTCAGGTATGATGATATAACTCAGTGTGATGCTCAATAAATGAAGTTTGTATTATTTATTTATTTTTATTTAAACAACTGTGGCTGAGCACAGATTCCCAAGCTGAAGCTAGAGTTTAATGTAGAAGTGTGTTTTGGAAATCCTGGTGCACATGTCCAAAGCTGCAGTCTTTGTGTTTTTGCAGTGAAATTAGTTAGGGATTAATACTCGTCCTGAATGGTCCACAAACCCTTTTTGCAACCTACCAGAGTAATTAGGTTGAACTACCAAGGCTCTTCCAAAGTAAGTACTATTTTAAAATTGTTGAATGGATCAAAACATTAGTATAGTTTGAAAGGAAGGCTGAAATGATAGCATTTTTACCATTTCTCATAACCAAAATATATGAATGTGGATGTGAGATTGCAAATGAATTATCTTGCTTGAAATCCTTAGGAATACAGTGTAAATAATCATTCTTGATGAGTCATTATTGATGAGAAAATTGGGGCCTCATTTCTCTTGTAGAAGGTTCCTTACTGTGTGGATGGGCATGGTAGCACAGGGATGGGTACCCCCCATAGATCTCTGAGTTAGTTTCAATTAGGCTTTGATTTGCACTGAGGGAGACACTGAACAGACTACAAGGATGGCTGGAGGGACGAAAATGAAGGGATCCACAGGGGGTGATGCTCTGTCTTGAAAAGAGGGAGACTTAGTGACTCTTAAAAGGAAAGAAGGGCTACTGTTGGTTGGCTAATCCCTCTACGATGATATCCTCACCCTAGTCTCTAGAAATTGTGATAGTTGCATTGCCTATATACAGAACTGTGTGCAGTTGTGACTAATTGAAGAGTTTCCTAATGGAGATGTAGTGCTGGACATTCTGGTGCTTTCTAAATCCCAACCATAAATTTTATGAGAATGATACTTGGGAACAAAGTACTGATGCAATGAGGAAAGGGAAGGATCACAGAGGCTGGAGCTTGAGAACTGGCCCTGCGTCTGGTAATTCCATTAGTCACCGGAAGTTTGTAGTGGTAAATGATAAATGCTTCCTTAAAGCCTTCATTGTCCCTCATAGTCACTTAATTTCTGCAAACTGAAATGTATGAAGGGTAATGTGCTCTAAATCATTGCAGAATAAGATGTGCAAGATTCTTAACTTTAGAGTAAGCAGAGGTGTATTAGGTCTGTATGTTCTGTGAGTCAGGCGACTAGTCTGGGTTCTAATAGCCTGAAAGGAGCCTATGGAATGAAGATGAGGTCTGGAATGTTCAGATTGCAAGTGTATTTTCTGCTAAATGCTTTTTAAATTACTGATTTAGTGGAAGGTTAAGCTTGTAATTATAAGGAATTAAAAGTGTAGAATTGTAGAAAATAAAATTAAAATAAAAAAAGATGTGTGTGTGTGTGTGTGTGTGTGTGGAGGGGGGGGAGTGGTCTAGTGACTATACAGGTTTATTCTCTGCTTTGTAACACCAAGATCCTGTATAAGCACCAGTTTGTGTCCTGGCTGCTCCACTTCTGATCTGACTTCCTGCTACATGACATAGGTTCAACCCATATGGTAGAGTTGGTCCCTAAGCAGGGTGGCTGAAGACGACCAGGCCATCACAGTGTGGTGTTGCAAGATGTGAATCATGGGACTGGAATGCCACTGAGATTGGGGGTGTGGCCAAGGACAACACCAGTGAGCCTGTTGGAGAAGCTCTTCAGACTTTAGCAGCATTTGGCGTACTGTCAGGTGAATGGGAAAGCTGTGAGTAAGGCAGAATAGTTGCAAGCCTACATGCCTACATTGCAGTCTGAGCCCCAGATATCTTTGGTGACAAAATGGTGGTTCTCCAAGAAATTGATCGCGATCAACACCAAGGATTTAGTCATTAGTAACAGCTGCTGAATTTAATACCCATGTCTGTAGAGTAAAAAGGAGGCACTCAGAGAAATGCAAAGAAAATGATTTATTAAAGCAAGACGTTGAAGCCTTTACATATTGGGAGAAGACTAGGCTATCCTGAAGAGTTGATAGAAATCAAGATCAGACGTTTGCACCTCACAGGTCAACAGTCCCCCACAATTTCTTTCTGAAATGAAAAACAGAGGTAGAAGGAGAAATGACGTTATGAGTGAGGCAGCTTCTATCAATGAGACAGCCTATTGTCAGTGTTTCTAAAAGATATTTTTGGATTATTAGAATTCAAAAGAGTGGGGTGCCTGAGATATTAAAAGATAGACCTAGAGAATGGCCACAAAAGAAGCACAGTAGCAAACTGAGTTTCTGAAGTAGATCACACAAAAGGTAAATTTAAAATTGTGTTTCTTACGGTACAAATCTGAAATATCACAGAGCTCATTCATAATATGCTTTTGTGGTCAGCATCCTTTGAACCTTCAGAGATGAGGGCTGAATGTGATTCTAGTTTCATATGTAAGAGGTAATGTTAAAAATAGGATGGAAGTGTTCAGGAATGCTTTTCTCCTGTATTGCAGATTGTGGGTCTTAACTGTCCCCTCCAAATGAGCAAACAGGGCTGACAGAGTAAAATGAGGTGCTGTAAAACCACACTCATTATCTTCCTGGCACCACATGCTAGGAATTCTGCCCCATGAGTCCTGACTACTAAGGGCCGGATGTCAGCATCTATGGGTTTTTGTAGCTGAACGTTGCAGACTCACAGCAGCAACGGAGAGAACGAAAGACCCATTTATGATGACCTTTCCTGACAATGACACAGGTAAGTGGTGCAGCTTCCCCAGGCAGTGCGGGAAACAAATCAGCAGGGATATTTGGCCTCACCTTGTCAAGGGATCAGCAGGTGTGCGGTCCTGGGTCTCAGATGCCAGTAGAGAAACCCAGCCAACCACCACCGGTTCTCTCGGAGCAAGTGCCCAGTTCCCTCCTCTACTTCTGCTTTTCTGTTCAGCATCCCTGACATTGCTACATGGAACTGTGTGAGGTTGAGACCAACTGTCTGAGAGCAGCTCACTTCAGGGACTCTCCTAAGTCAAGAGGCAGCAGAGCATGACTTTTCAGAATTCTTGCATGTACCCCAGGCTGTTTGCCTTCCCTGGATACTTTGGGGGACGTGCCATCCAGGCAGATGGCCTGAGAAAGAGGAGCAGGCCAGCACAATAGAATGCCATGTGAAGCTGACTTTGGTTTAAGATATGTCCTGGTGACATTTACCCTGTGGCAGGAATGGCCCTGTGCAAGGCACCCTCAGCTGATTCTCTATTCCCGTCACTCACTGTGTAACCGAAGAGAGGCTTTATGTAAAACAGAAATTACCAGTACTCCTGCAAAGCGTTCTCTATCTGCATAATCCATCTTATCAACACATCTTTTTGTAATTATTTTTGCCTCCACAGATTCCGGAGGTGCGTTGAATTTGGCAAGTGAGAGCCGGAGTTGAGACTCGGTACCCAGTATGAAGATGTTGGCTTCTTTTACATATTCTGGACAGGGTGTTGCATCAGCTGGAGAATAAGAGCAGAAACACATATTCTGTGTGACACATTCTATTCTGACACAAACAGGCAGGACCTCTATGATTTTGTTATTCCATCCCAGTGGTGTGAATAATCACAGAATCTGAGGACTTCCTGGAGTTTACATAGCAAGAGACACAACTGAGACCAGAGGAGGAACTTCTTCAAGTGTTTCTTTTTTCATCCAGCACGATCAAAATAAGTTTCACCCAAAATAAGTTTCACACAAAATAAGTTTCTGTGGAAATTGGATAGTCTAAAAATTCAGTTGCATCTATATGTTGACATGAATTCAAGAAAACAGCAATTGGGGATCAGCAATTGCTGTCTGTTCAGCAGACATGGATTCAAGAAAACAGCAATTGGGGATCAACGGGGGGAACTGGAGATTGAAAGGGGGTGAGAGTTTGAGCACAGTTGCAGCAGTGTGAGAGAATCTGGAGGAGGGCGTAGGAAATAATTAACCCTGTGGGGAGGAGGGCTATTCTGAGACTAAGTGAAAGGAGCTCAGATTATGCCAAAGGATGTTTGCACAATTATAAACTAAAGTTTATTGAGAGAATGAGTCTTCCCTCAGATGTGCAATTTTGCCATACGTGATGATATGCCCTTTTATTAGAGAGAATTCTCAGAATTCTCAGAATTCTCTAACTGGAACAATGGCAGATCTGAAAGAACTGTTTTTTCTTATCTGGATTCCCTAGTGCCTCAAAGCTTTGAAAAAACCTGCATGTTTATTTAGAGATTGAGAGACAATTTGGACTTTTCAGCTTGAGCTCTGCAGAGATTCCGCTATAACAAGCCACGAGTTTGAATTTGTTATCTAAGAATCTGCAGGCTGTCTTAAAGACACCTGCATATTCTTGGAGTGAAAAATAATGGATCAACACACATAGTCACTTCATGACTGCAGCACTCAGCATCCTGAATCTTAATCTTACTCTGTCGTCGTGTTAGAAACATGAGGGGAAATGAAGGTCTTTCACAGGATAAGCATTTGCCTAAGGTCAAAGTTCTGGAAGGTTGCAGAGTCCAGCCTTCTACCCAGACCTCCCACTGCAATCTGCTACTGTGCGAGTGACATTCTAGTCTGACTTCCTGAAGTTTCCGGAACTGACTTTCTTGTTGAAATTCCTAGGTACTGAAAAAATGCAAAGTTCATCATGGACGACTATGAGTTAATGTTATGAAGCTAAGGGATGACTTTAGAATTGTCATCTAATCCAGACTCCCTTCCCACCACAAGCATAACCACCTGAGTTGCAGAGAAAAGTCTTACAAAAGTCATCTCAAATGGTACTCACCATCATAGCAGCAAAGGGCAAGAGTGATCAAGAGGAGAGACGCCACCAGCTTCATGGTGCTCTTTTTTGCTTTGAGCTCCCTTTAGAAAAGGAGTAGGGAATTGTCCTCCACTGCAGGAACAGTACTGCCAGTAGGATAGAGGGCTATTTGTACCTGGTGAGCCTCAGTGGTCCTGCCCACAGAGACGTGTGACCAGTCACAAGGCTTGGCTTGCAGTCTTCCTTACTCAGGGAGGACCAATGACGTTTATCAAGATTCAGCCCCACACCCTCACTCACTGGAAGCAAAAGAATAGCCTGAGGGAACTCTGCCCCACTTTCCAGGTGCCCACAGGGTTCCCAGAAACCTCACCTGGAGGCCCATTTTCCTTGTGATATTTTGATTGTTATATCTCTTTAAAATTTGTCAGGGAAAACCACATCTGTGGTAACAACAGGATAATAGGAGAGGGCACAGGATGTAGGAGAACAAAGAAACAGAAGACCACCTGTTTCCCCATGAGCTGTGGAACATCTCACCTCTTGCGTTTCACTTGCACGTTGATCCAGAGAGCTCCCTTTCTCACTTTGTATCGCTACTTTGCTCACGTAGCTACCTTACATGGTGGTTGAAATATCTCATTTCGGGAGACCTGCTTTGTGTGAAAACTACTGCCCCTCCTGTCTTTGCTACCCTCTTATCTTCAAAGCCAGGTGTGTAAAGTGTGTTGTGGGGATATTGCAGAATTTAACATCCTGTTTTCGGCAAGAGTAAGTCAAGGTAGTAACGTGTCAGGAGGCATAGTTAGGAGTTCTGGAGGCTCCCACACCTCATGTTCACTAAAGTGTTGTGAAAATTCAGTCTAGTATCACTTGACAAAAGTCAGAAAGTATTTAAAAGACTCATACCTCTAGGGAGCCATTTGTGTAGACTGAGCAAAGTGGCTTCTGTACAGCCATTTACAGGGTGCTCTGAACCCAGTGTAACCTCTCATAGCTGGAGCATCCTCCAAGCTTTGCAGAGGCCAAGGAAGGGCATCAGGCCTCATGCCCAGTGTCCCATCATTTTCCAGATAACAATTCACTAAGGGAAAAATAGATGAAATTGATCTTTGCTTATGCTCATCAAGGAGAGAGTTAATTCATGCACCCAACACCCTGATAGTAAACCAACAGTATGAAAGTGTGTATGATGGCAACTGTGGCAAACTGTGAAAAAAAACAGTGATAGGACAAGATAAAAAAGTATGATATCAAGGGCAGGAGGAGAGGAGAGAAATGGGACAAGCACAGTGGGATTTAGGGCAAGGGCATTCACTAAGATCTCATAATTTGGTCCTATAGAACACATTCTTTACTTTCCCAAAGGCATAGAACTTTTTCCCTGGAACAAATGGTAATTGTAGCATTGCATCTTATGTCTCATTGTAGGTTCAGTAGCTATTGTACAAATACCGTTCTGTTGGAGAATGTGTGGAAGGCACTGAATGGATGCAGCAAAGGTTTACAAGATATTTCTGTGCTTTCTATTCTATTTAGCTGTAAATACAGCTTTGTTTTATCAAGTAGTCTGTTCCTCAATGTGGTAGGAAATGTATTTGCCATATTTTCCCAATAAAAATGCATCTTAAAACATAAATGAGAGAAGGAGTTCATATTGATACACATGTTTAACAGAAACCAGAATCTACAACAGTCAACTGCGAATCCATTACAAATAAAAACCATTTATGTCAGCTGAAAGAGAATTCTCATAAAAATCAATTAAATTTCTAATGATAAACAATTATGCCATAACTGAGTGGGGAAAAAGGGCACCATTAAAAATAATAAGACTAGCAGGACTTGGACATATGGAAATACAGGAGATATAAGTATGTAGACATTTAAGAGAAAATCATTAAATGTTACTTGTGGATGTAAGAGTGAATCATAGGGGTGCGGTGGCATGGCCTAGTGGCTAAAGTCCTCGCCTTGAACGTGCCGGGATCCCATATGGGTGCCGGTTCTAATCCCGGCAGCTCTACTTCCCATCCAGCTCCCTGCCTGTGGCCTGGGAAAGCAGTCGAGGATGGCCCAAAGCTTTGGGACCCTGCACCTGTGTGGGTTACCCGGAAGAAGTTCCTGGCTCCTGGCTTCGGATTGGCATAGCATTGGCCATTGCGGTCACTTGGGGAGTGAATCATCAGATGGAAGATCTTCCTCTCTGTCTCTCCTCCTCTCTGTATATCTGACTTTCCAATAAATAAATTTTAAAAAATCTTAAAAAAATTATATAAAAAAGAGTGAATCATAGAGGTGCATGCCTTTGCTGTAGAGAATCTTTAGAAATTTGACGATGTCTGTTATTTTGAAATTATTCTCCATAGCTCTGTGTCTATCAGCATTCTAACAGTGCGGTTCAATGCTTAATTCTCAGCTCTAAATAACAAATCATGTCTTTCCAAGTTAGCATGTTGACCAAGGAGTGAGGAGAAATCCAACTTTGACCCAGAAGAATTCAGACTATATTCAACTCTGACTCTTAATAAGGAGAGTTAGCAAAATACTTTTTCTCAGGACTTTTGAAATGATAATTCATAAATCATAAATGTGTGTAAAGTGAGTCTTTGATTTAAAAGAGGACAAAAAACAACAACGTCAAGTCTAATATCAGCCATTATGATTCCCAGGCAAGGAAAAATATAGAACATAAACCTTAAAAGATATCACTAAAAGGCCAACATAAATGATCAAATTGAATGTGATCTGTCAATAAGAAATGTTTGTTTCTCCTAAATGGCAGCAAAACATGTGTGTAACTTGAGTGTGATTTCAATGGCATTGACCCAAGTTAACCTGAGATAATTAACTTTAATACCTTAATTTATTTGGTAAATGCCAAGTGATTGTTATCATCATACAAAATCCATAGTAAGGAGTACCAAAGCTAAGTCTGTAAGTGGGAGTTTGGAGAGATAGATGTTAATTATTTCCAAGTTCCAGAAATCCCTGGCACTACTTCCTCAGCCTGGTGTATTATGTTTGATCACCCATGTCCTTTGCCTTAGGTTAATCCTAGGGATTATCTTGAATTTGCTCATCAGCCCTGTAAACATATTCCTGGCTCAAGAAACCTTTGAAAGTTTTCACTCCGCAACTCTAAAGCTCCCTAAGGCATTCCACCTAAAACTGTACTATGGTTTCATGGTTCTTGTTGCAGACTCTGTATTGTCAGCCTTTCAATTTGTCCAAAAAGGAAGCATCGTTGCTATCCATCTGAATAATAAAGCAGACCTAAACTCTATGAATCACAGTCTATAAATATGTACAAACTAATTAAAGGTCTGTTTTATAGTACAGTAAATGTGTTGCATATACCAAAAGCAAAGGTAAGCATAATAGCATTTGCAGGAAGATAGAAAAAATAAAGAATATGGTTCACGCTAATACAAAGAATTAATTGACCTTGCTATCATTAGACTTAACCATTTCTCAACTGTCAGTTGATATTACAACTTTTTCTAGTGTTTTCTAGAAGTGAAATAAGGAAAAATATTATCATATTAAAAAATAAAATGCAATTAATCAGGGACATATAATATGTTAAAACAACTCATTTTAATCATATTGTGATGTTTATCAATATATTCAGACAAAAGAAATACATATGTTGATATACTTATCCAAAACAATAGACATTCCAGCAGTGTACAAATCAATAATGTACCTGTTTAAGATGTGTTCATTTGTTTGAAAGGTGGAGTTACAGAGAGAGAGAGAGAAACAGAGAGAAACTTTCTGTCTGCTGTTTCACTACCCAAATGGTCACAGTGATCAGAGCCAGTCTGAAACCATGAGCCAAGGACTTCTTCCAGGCTCCCACTGGAGGGATGCAGAGGCCCAAGCACTTGGGCCATCCTCTAAAGCCTCCAGTGCTTTAGCAGGGAGCTGGATTGAGCAATATATCTTAACTGTTGCTCAGGTAGGCAAGTCTAAACATGAAATAGCGCGTACAGCACATACTCTACTATACCACGTGGAGTTTCAAGAAGGTCACAACCAAATACAGTAACAAGGCAGTGAATAAGAAAAAGTTTCCAAGAGAAGATAATGAAAATAGCCAACATTTATATAAAAAGATGCTCTTTATCAGGAGCCACTAGGAAAGTACAAGTCAAAATGAAAGTGAGGTATCACTTCATCCATGTTAGAATGGCTATTATCAAAATGGACCGTAAGCAATGTGGGAGAAAGAGCTCTAATAGTCTGATGGTAGAAATGTAAATGAGTACAGTTAATATGGAAGACAATACGGAGAGTTCTTACAGTTCTACAAGTAGAGGTGCCATGATGGTGTAGCCAGCTAATCTGTATGAGTGCTGGATCATGTCCCAGCTGCTCTACTTCCAATCCAGCTCTCTGTTTATGGCCTGGGAAAGCAGCAGAGGATGGTCCAATTCCTTGGATCCCTGAACCCACATAAGAGACCCAGAGGAAGCTCCTGGCTCCCAGCTTTTGAATGATTCAGCTCTGGCCATTATGGCCATTTAAGGAGTGAGCCAGCAGACAGAAGACCTGAAAACAAATAAAATCCTTTTTGAAAAATATTGCAAGAAGTACATGATCCAGAAATCCTACCACTGTATATATGTTCAAATGACATTGTGTCAAGGAGTTATCTATGCCACCTTGCTTACTATAATAAAAAATAAATTTTATTCTGTGTGTACAGTGCACAATAACCAAGACATAGAATGAAACATAATGGAATTGATTTCATCATAAAAGAATAAGCCCCTGTTTTATGCAACAAAATGGGAGGAAGTAGAGGCTACCATGTTGAATGAAGTAAGTCAGGTGACAAAGACAGAAATCGCAAGCTCTCTCACATATACTGAAGCTAATAAAGAAAAACCATGAACACAGAGTATTGGTTACTAATAAGAAGATAAAGTTTTGATTAAGAAGCCATAGCAGTGCAAGATGACTCTGGCTTTTCTCAGTACTTTTCTCTGTTCTGGTCAGTATTACATCTGCTCCTGCTTGCTTGTATGATTCATGGCTTATGTTTACAACTAACAGTTTATGTCAGATATTCTCTCCTTTTCAAAATCCTTCTTTAGTGACACATGTAAATATCTTCTATACATGAAACACAACAGTTGCAAATAC